GACTGGGTGTTCTCTCAATAACTGTGCCGCTCACTACACACCCAATGCAGGTGACACCACAGTGTTGCAGTACGATGACATCTGTAAGATTGACTTTGGAACATATAAGTGGTAGGATAATTGACTGTGCTTTTACTGTCACTTTTAATCCCAAATATGATATATTATTAAATGCTGTAAAAGACGCCACTAATACTGGAATAAAGTGTGCTGGCATTGATGTCCCTCTGTGTGATGTGGGAGAGGCCATCCAGGAGGTAATGGAATCCTATGAAGTGGAAATCCACGGGAAGACATACCAAGTGAAGCCGATCCATAATCTGAATGGACACTCAATCGGGCCGTACAGAACACATGCAGGGAAGACTGTGCCCATCGTGAAGGGCGAGGAGGCAACGCGGATGGAGGAAGGGGAAGTATATGCCATTGAAACCTTTGGTAGTACAGGAAAAGGTGTTGTTCATGACCACATGGAGTGTTCACATTACATGAAAAATTTTGATGTTGGACATGTGCCAATAAGGCTTCCAAGAACAAAACACTTGTTAAAGGTCATTAATGAAAACTTCGGCACACTTGCATTCTGCCGCCGATGGCTAGATCGCCTAGGAGAAAGTAAATACCTGATGGCACTGAAGGATCTGTGTGACTTGGGCATTGTAGACCCATACCCACCACTGTGTGACATTAAAGGGTCATACACAGTGCAGTTTGAACACACCATCCTGCTGCGTCCGACTTGTAAAGAAGTTGTCAGCAGAGGAGAAGACTACTAAACTTAGTCCAAAACCACCTCAAAGTCTTTATTTTCTAAGCTGTGTTGGAAAAATTATACCAGGATTAACTTATAACATGTCTGTTTTAACAGTGGACCTGTGTAATACTTTATCCATGTTTAAAATAATTTGATTTCGATCAAAGGCAAACAATCCGTCTAATGTAATTAACCAGGGAGAACACTTTCAGGACTCTAAATGTTAACTGTTTCCTCCATGTCTAGGAAATGCTCAAGTTAGTTAGGAATGACTTACATGTTTTGTTTGGAACACCCAAGTCATGCTTTTTGGATATTTATATTGCCATATTCTTACTTGAATGTTTTGAATGACTGACCACATCCACTTCTGCACCTATGTCCTCTGGTATTGCTTTTTAACCTTCCTGGAATTCATTTTCTAAAAAATAAAGACATTTTCAGAAAAAAAAAATATGAGAAACTTGTCTTCTCCAGGACAGGCGTGACATCTGGAAGAGGAATGAAGGCTAAACAAATACTGCTACCTTGTGGTCAGACTGCCCAATGTACTGCGAGCAATACCCAGCAGCCTTGCTGTTTGTCGGGTAGACCTGCTTGTGAAGGTGCGTTTCAATCTCCTCCCAGAAGACCACCATGCTCAGGTGAGAGTGTGAAGCCTCGCTTGTGGCTTTGGACTGGATGCACATGCAGTACTGCTCCGATGTTAGCTCATCCACGCAGTGCTTCTCATGCTGGAGGTGGAAAAGACTAGGAATTGAGGTCTGGACCACAATCGGGTCACTGTGTAAGTACTTCTGATACAGGTAAACATCTTTTCCACCCCAGGCTTTAATTTCCATGTGAAGCAAACCCACCAATAGTTAGAAAATCTGATTGATATTGAGAAGTGATTTGAAAGCCAAAATCTCACCAAAAAACCAAAATCCTTTTCATGAACCAGATGCTGTTCCAAGAGAGGGTCTCTGGTTGGCATAAAGGATGGCAGGTGTAAAAGACTGAACACCACAGGGTAAAATACCTTCCTACCTGGATCAAATTTAACTAGCAACTATTAAGGAATGCAGCTGAGAAATATACAGTCACATCACAGAAGAATACCAAGATCTCTCTCTTGTCCCATACTCTGGCATCCATATTTAGTCCTTGTCCACTATTAAATTCCTCATTCAATGTGACCAAGGTATAACTATGAAGATGAGACTCACTTGCAATAGATTCTAAGATAAATTTGACGTCAGATAGTCCTTTACCGAAGTACACTGCCATGAGATGGATCCTTTTGTCGTGATGAATATAAATATCCCTGAAGTTCTGCCTGGACTGTATGAACCTTCTGTTCTTTGGATGTGGGACATGACGAGGTTGATAACGGTTCTGTCGATGTCAATCACGTCGCTCTTCACCTACATAAGATGCCCAAGAGGGAATAAGAGAGTCACAGGCCTATCCTCCCATCAGATCAGCCTTCTTGAAAGAGTTTGTACTGTGTGCCTTTAGCTCTCCTGGTGCAACAGTCACCTTCCATGAGGTCATTTTTATTAAATATCAGCTTCTCTCCAAGGGCATCTTCCTCATCTTCCTTTCCTCCCCCCCTCATCTTCCTGTTCATTCTCTTCACTAGGATTATTATGAACCTCTAATCCAGCTTCAATAACTTCTACCAATTCATCTTGTCTGACTTTTCTAACCAGCTTTTCTTCAGAATGGGAGTTGATACCCATTTCCAACTGAAAAATTTTCATTAAGGTAACGCTCTTGAAGGAGACAACCCCATACTCACTAGGCCATTCTGCTCCTACACTGACTTTGTCTTTGTCGATCTGGAAGTAAAGGAACTTTGCGTGGTCACCAGGGTCTTGCTCACCGCTGCTATGGTAGCCTATGTTGTTAACCCCTGCATTTCTTTTCTCCTGCAATGACCTCATCTTCTCACTCATTTTTTGTAATTTTTGCTTTGGCATTTCAGACTTGCTGCCCTGGTTTGATAATTTTGCTTTTGCTTGTGAAAGAGGCCTTGATAATAATAGTCTTTACTGTAATTTTCCCTGACAACCCTGAGGAGGGATGCATTTCTGTCCTTTTTGGGGGCACATTCCAGAAGGTGTAGAAACAGCACTGAGCTCCAAGCAGAGCCAGGCCCAACGGCAGCCAATGGGCACTGGGGGAAAGAGTGGAGCATTGTGTATGATAGGCTTTTTCAGGCACCAGTGCAGCAGAGAAAAAGGCAGAAGGAAAAAGGGAAAGGGGCTTTATTATCTTTGAGGACATGGAGAGAACCTGGGAAAGATGAGGGATTCTCTGGATTGGAACAAAAGGAGGCTGAGGCTTTTATGGCCTTTTGCCAAGGGTGGAGTTTGAAGGGGATGTTTAGATATACCTGAGGAACTGAGGGGGGGGGGTCTTCCCTGAGGCAGTGGGAAAAGTGAAAGGACCTTGCACCCTGGGCTGAGTTGGAGAAGAAGGGGGGGAGGTGGCCTTGGAGAAGTTGAGCTGTTGTTTTAAGGGTTTCAGCCATATTAGATGACCAGCATAATGATTCAGCAATTTATACTAGGGCCAGAACCTATTAGTGTAGACAATCTCAGCAAGGAGGATTTGCCAGATAAGCTCTTTGATCATAGTTTAGCAAAAAGCTATCAAGATTAGAAACAAAATCAGGCTTTTCATAAAAGGGACAAAAAATAATTTTGCTCTAGCTACAAGTATTTCCTTCTTCAACAGTGATGACTACCTACAGAAATAAGAAATTATGCACACTTCCTTATTGTCACCATGATCCCCAGAATGCAGCAATCTGCTCTCTGAAATCCATGCTGTGGGGCCAGGGATATAACTCAGTGGCACAGCACCTGCCTGACAAGCATGAGGCCCTGAGTTCAATTCCCCCCTGCAAAAAAAAAAAAAAAAAAATCTATGATGTGAGTGGAAACTTTTAGCTGAAGGCAGGCTGGGAGGAGCAGAGGATGCTCACAGAGCGCCTGCCAGGTTGCCAGGTTAACTGCATCACACAGCTAAGGCTCATGTGACTTCATGCCTATTTTACACTTCTGTAAAGTCGAGCAAGCTGGAACTGCCAAGTTGCTCAGTGGCACTAAGCCTAGGCTCCTCTGGTCCTGGACATGACCTCCGCCCACGTGCTGCAGGCCACAGGTGATGCTTTACCACAGTGGTGGGGTTGCAAGGCAGGGCAATGTTATAATCACTGGGCTGAGAGAACAATGTACCACCCGGGACCTCAGTATGGCCACCCTGGGGCCTGGGTGGAGAGAGTCAGGGCACCAGAGCTCAGCCACAGGCAATCCCAGGCTGGAACCACTAGTCTGCCTACGTACTCCCAGGTCCTACCTTTCTATACCATCATCTTGGGCATGAAAATGTCAACACGTGCATTTTGACAGAACACAAACATTTAAACCACAGCCAGAAGTAATTTCAAGAGTGCTCAGAAGTTCTTTTGTCCCACACACTTATTCTTCCACTAATAGCTGGAGTTCATGTTTCTTCCTTTTGAATCTGCGCAAGACTATGAGTGAAGTGACTCGTGTGCACCAGATGGCACTGAGCAGCAGGCCATCAGCAGGCCTCTTCCTCTCACAAGTGCACAAATAAGAAATAAAACATTATTTCCCAATCTACCTTTCTGCTCCTCATTTGAATTTCTCCCAGTTGCAATTAGCTCAGGAAGGTAGCCTCTCATCTCTGTCCATAAACACGTAAAATTCCCCTGCCTGGCCTGGGCCATAACCTGGGACTTGATTTTGTGAGTATTCAGAGGGTACTTGGCCTCTGTGTCTAAACAGATCCTTCCCACTGGCTCCCTGCTCACCTGAAGAAACACTCTCATTGTAAAGTAGCCCAGCGTACTAAACTGGACAACAAAATTGGGACTGTGCCCTTGGCTCTCCTCAGAGAGAGACAGTAGTGGCTGAGTATGGGTTGGCTCTGTGTAGGTTTTCCATGAGCTCTGACTGCACAGATCTGCTCACAGCAACAGGTTGACCATCCACCTCCAGCACCTCTACCTCCTGGAGGAAGTCTGGATCCAGCACACAATGTCACCTCAAGGCAGCACCTGATAGCTGATAATACCTTTTGTTGTTGTTCTTCTAATGGTACTGGAGCTTAGACCCAGGGCTTTCACACTGAGGTAAATCCCCAGATCTTTTATTGTTTTTGTATTTTAAAACAGCATCTCACAAAACTGATAAATTGCCCAAACAGGGCTCAAACTTGTGTTCCCCCTGCCTCAGCCTCCCAGAGTTCTGGGATTCTAGGTATGTGCCATCATGCCTGGCTCTGATAACATCTCTACTGCCTTCTCTGGAAGTAGAGGAGAAAGGTGCCAAAACTTAGTCTCATCTTTAGGAGGCAGAGAAGAACCTGCTTTTCTTAAGAAAAGGCAAAATACAAGATCTAAGTCTCTATTTGTCTATCTGTCTATCTGTCTATCTGTCTATCTGTCTATCTGTCTATCTGTCTATCTATCTATCTATCTATCTATCTATCTATCTATCTATCTATCTATTTATCTATCTATCTGCCACTATATATTTGCCTGCTGCCCTGCCTTGGGCTTACCACCTTCCTTCCTGGCCTTTGGCTGGACTGCCATGAGCCAGGATGCTGCTTGGGAGCAGAATGAGCATATATTCCAGGGACCCTGCTTCAAGACCTGACAATTTAGACTTCAATCTCTTGTGGGGATCAGAGGAGATACCCTAGAGGCTGAGAACTCTAGAGGCTGACTTTCAGGACAGTGTAACATCACAGAAGAAGACTGGCAGGGGCCGGAGGCCCTATGAAAGGAAAGGACTTGTGGGCCTTAGCCTATGCCCTTGCTGTCATTGGCTCCATCTATCTTCCTCCTCGTCACATCATCCTTCATCCCCACTTCCAGTTCTCTTCTATATTGCCAATTTCAGGAAGTGAAGGCTCATTTGTCAGGCTCAGTTTTATTAAATCAGCTTTTTATCACCTTAGCCTATTCTCCCCCAAATTACTATAGATCTCTGATTTTTTCTCTTCCAGCCTCTCT